ATCCAGAACCTAAACCCTGAAAGATATCCTGAGCCTTCGGACGTGGCTAGCCCGCCTCCCTGAACCCTGAACCCTGAACCCTGAACCCTGAACCCTGAACCCTCCAGAATTTAGGGTTTAGGGTTTAGGGTTTAGGGTTTACGGTTTAGGGTTAAACCCTCAAGCCTGAAACCTGAACCCCCAAACCCCCACCTTGCGCCCATGTACTTGGCGCAGGGGACCAACTTCTCCGGGTCCATCGTGAGCACGCCCTGTCGAGCCCAACCGAACGGCTTCTCGTGGGGTTGTGAGGGTTTAGGGTTTAGGGTTCAGTGTTTAGGGGTTGTGAGGGAGGGTTTAAGGGTTTTTGGATGCTTTGAGGGTCGGTTGGGCTTTAGGGCGTTTAGGGTTACAGGGTTTTGAGGGTTTGTAGGGCTTCTAGGGCTATAGGGTTTTGAGGGTTTCTGGGGTTACTGGGGTTTAAGGTGTTTCGGGTTATAGGGTTTAGGGCTTTTAGGCTGATAGTAGCTTGGCTGACTTCTGAACCCCTCCGAAAAGTTCAACTTTTAGGCTCCTTATTGTATTTTCTTCAAAAACCCAAAAGTTAAAGTCCTGCCAGAAGAAAGCCAAGGTAGGGTTTGAGTTTTTTTTTTTTTTTTTTTGGGGGGGGGGGGGGGGGGGTGGGGGGCCATAGGGGACAAAGGGTTAAACGCCCAAAACCTACTTCTTCTAGGTCCCCTAAGGATCCTGAAAGAGAATGTTGTTTATAGCAAACGTACAATAATATGTAGGTCTAGGATGACAGGGTCACAGGGCTTAAGCCCTAACCCCTAAACAGTAAACCCTGAACCCTAAACTTTCAACTCAAACGCCTAAACAGCAAGGTTGCCCTCTCATTCAACGCTGCGGAAGACGCCATCGGTTTTGGGGTTTAGGGTTTGGGCTTTGGGTTTTGGGTTTTAGGGTTTAGGGTTTAGGATGTAGGGTTTAGGGCCAAGTTCACGAGGGTTTGGGGCATTGAAGCTGGGAGTTAATCATTTCTCCCATCCAGCAGTGAAGACACCACAGGCGACTACCCAGACCGACCATCACCTGCTGGGGCGTAGGGCTAAGGGCGCAGGGTTTAGAGTTCATCCATGTACGCCAGGCCGTAAGCAAAGAGGGTCCACGTACCCCATATCTTTGCGAGGGCGCAGCGGTTGCAATATCTTCCAGGGCCCCAAACCCCAAACCCTAAAGCCTAAAGCCTAAACCCGAAGCCCTAAAGCCTAAACCCGAAACCCTAAACCCCTAAACCCCTAAACCCTAAACCCCTAAACCCCTAAACCCCTAAACCCCTAAACCCCTATACCCCTAAACCCCTAAACCCCTAAACCCCTAAACCCCTAAACCCCTAAACCCTAAACCCCTAAACCCCTAAACCCCTACACCCTAAATTGTAGGTTCACCCAAAAATCCACATTTCTAAGAAGGCTTCTCGGGCCGGGTCTTAGAGGCTCAAAGAGGGGTTTAGGGTTTAGGGCTGCAAGACGCCGACCTTTTGAACTGCAATTGTTTGGTAGCACTAGGGTTTAGGGTTTAGGGTTTAGCGTTTAGGGTTTAGGGTTCAAACCCCATAAAGCTGTGTGCGTAGGACCTTTCAAAGGTGCGACATGGAGCCGTAGGTAAAGAGAGTCCCAGGCCAGGTAGGGCTGAGAGCTCACGGGGTGGCTGGGGTCTTCGTGGCGGCCCTCCCCCCTACACCCCCTGACCCTGTAAGCTTGCGTGGGCTACTCCTGAAGCACGTAGTACTGCCATCCGTATTTTTGCCATGGGTGCTTGTACTCCTCCAGATCTTTGCGCGAGTCTTCGCGTGCCTGTTGCCGGACTCTGGAAAGATGGCCCGCGAATGGGTGATTGTGGATGGCCTCCGTGAAGGTGTTGTAGGTAGTGGTGTTCCATTCTGTCTGTTCCTTCCATTCGCGACGAGTGTCGGGGTTCTTGATAGCCCCTAAACCCTAAACCCGCCTAAACCCTAAACCCTAATTAAACCTAAACCTAAACCTAAACCCCTAAGTTCTAAAACCTAAACCCTAAACCGTAAACCCTCAACCCTAAACCCTAAACCCTAAACCTAAAACCCTAGACCCTAAACTCTAAACCCTCGTGAAGCTCCAGAAATCCGAAGCCGAGACCCTCAGCCCAAGAACCCAAAAACCCTAACACCCTGAAATGGTTTAGGGTTTAGGGTTTAGGGTTTAGGGTTTAGGGTTTAGGGTTGAGGGTTGAGGGTTTAGGGGTTAGGGTTTAGGGTTTCCAACCTCCAAACGCCAAACCCCTCACACTCTCTCCCTGTCCTGCCTTCTCGCCCCGAGCGCACCAGTTGTACTTCGGGCCTCGGTCTCACCCTACACTTGTGGTTTTTCAGGTCCTCAAGACCCTACGTTTAGGGTTTAGGGTTTAGGGTTTAGGGTTTAGGGTTAGAAATTGATGTGGCGCTGAGCGTTCGTTTGTCGCAGCTTCTGCCCCTAGCTTCGAGATTGGGTGAAACGCTCTTCGCAATCTAACTTGGTAGCCCAGTAGCCCCATCATAATGAGGGTAGCCTTTGTTGTGTTGGTTACTTTGCAAGGCAACCTTGAGCCAACAAAGAATGGAAAAAGAGTACCACTGGGCTACCAAGCTACATGAGTTTGAGGCCTAAACCCTAAACCCTAAATCCTAAACCCTAAACCCTAAACCTCCAAACTGCTGGATCCAAGGAGCTGTGCGATGCAAGATGAATTACTCTTGGGATGTTCCCCCTTATACTACGAGCCCTCAAGAGGGGCTTATAATCGGGGACACCTATAATCCCGACTAAGGACTGTCAGTATGCGGAGGAACACCCCAACATCACTTGAGAGGTTACAAGGTAGGCCACAGGTCCTACGATTCTCGCGACGGTGCGCGAAGGTCCATGCGCAGAGGCATACTCTTAACGAGTCTGCCTGCGGTCGAAGGCCCAACGTCAAGCTCGGCCCAGGACCAATCCACTTGGAGGTTCATCGGCACTTAGAACACCAGTTGTAAGTCTACTTATCGCCTACACGGAGGACGTAGGGGGCTTATAAGTGCCCGAAATTTCTAAACGCCCAAACCCTAAATCTTAAACCCTAAGCCCTGAACCCTAAACCTGACAAGTACACATATGATTCGTTTCCATTTGGGGGTATGAGTACCCTGAAGCTCCAAGTAAGAGCTCTCAAAGCAATCTGAAGCTGGTGGCGATCACTGCGGGCTATCTAGCTATGACATCTAACAGCCTGTGTTTTCGGGTTTTGGGTTGGGGTTTAAATTCGAATGTTCCAGACATACGGCCGTGACAGCCATAGAAGCCATACAGCGTCACTCGTGGCTGCTCCATCAGAGGGTTTCGGGTTTAGGGTTTAGGGGTTAGGGGTTAGGGTTTAGGGTTTAGGGGTTCGGGTAAGTTGCAAGGCACAAAGCAAAGCCAGCTCTGTTAGAAATTGATGTGGCGCTGCGCTTTCGCTTGTCGCAGCTCCTGCCCCTAGCTTCGAGACTGGGTGAAACGCTCTTCGCAATCTAACTTGGTAGCCCAGTAAGTTTAGGGTTTAGGGTTTAGGGTTTTGGGTTTAGAGTTTAGGGTTTAGGGTTGAGGGTAATGAGCGTACCCTTGGTTAGGTTGGTTACTTTGCAAGGGAACCTTGAGCCAACAAAGAAGGGAACAAGGGTACCACTGGGCAACCAAGCTGCGTGAGTTTGAAGGCCTAAACCCTAAACCCTAAACCCGGAACCCTAAACCCTAAACCCTGAACCCTAAACCCTAAACACTGAACCCTAAACCCTAAACCCTGAACCTCCAAACTGCTGGATCCAAGGAGCTGTGTGATGCAAGATGAATTACTCTTGGGATGTTCCCCTACAAGGCAGGCCACAGATCCTACGATTCTCGCGACCGTGCGCGAAGGTCCTTGACACTCTTAACGAGTCTGTATGCGGTCGAATAGCCGAACTTGAAGCACGGCTCAGGACCAATCTACTTGGAGGTACATGGGCACTTAGATCACCGGTTGAAAGTCTACTTATCGCCTACACGGAGGACGTAGGGGGCTTACAAAAGTGCCCTAAACTCTAAAACCTAAACCCTAAATCTTAAACCCTAAACCCCAAACCCTAAACCTTAAAAGTACCATTATAATTCGCTTTCATTTGGGGGTATGAGCACCCTGAAACTCCAAGTAAGAGCTCGCAAAGCAATCTGAAGCCGGTGGCGGTCACTGCGGGCTATCTGGCTATGACATCTAACAGCCTGTGTTTTCGGGATTGGGGTTTAGGGTTTACATTCGAGTATTCCAGACATACGGCCGTGACCGCCATGGAAGCCATAAAGCGTCACCCGTCGTGGCTGCTCCATGTTACAGCCGTAGCTGACGGCAAACCTGGCGTCCTGCGGGTAATTATACTACAACAACCGCCAAAACCCTAAACCAACCCTTTAAACCCTAAACCCTAAACCCTAAACCAAGTACATGAGTTCGAAGGATGCCAGCCGGCCGATCCAAGGACCTGTACGATGCAAGATGAATTACTCTTGGGATGGTCCCCCTTTATACGAAGAGTCTTTAATAGGAATTACAATAGGGGTACTATAGTCCCTGTTAAGGACTGTTAGTATAACGGGGAACATCCCGAAATCACTCCGACGATTGCAATTCCGGGCCGAGGTAGGCCACAGCTCCTACGATTGTCGCGACCGTGCGCGAACGTCCCTGCGCAGGGGCATACCAAACGATATCAGACGAAACCCACACACATGCACTGCTCTAGGGTCACCGAGGGTTCATGCCCAATGCCAACGCATGCAAGGACAAAATTGAAACTACCACAAGGACAGGATGGATGAGTCAATTCACATGAAAGACGACCGGGGAGCACAAGGCTTCTCAACAATAACCCCATCTGAGCCGCGTAGCGGCGTACCAGTTCTCCAAGTGGGATGTTGCATGCTCGTACTTTGCCTGGGGCCTCATGCGCGTGCTGACTACTCGAGGTGACTGATCGTGGCCACTTTGCCGCGGTTGTCCCGCAAGTTCCTGTCAGCACCAGCTTCCAGCAGCAAATGTACGATCTCCATGTGGCCTTTGTCAGCAGCGTGCATTAGTGCGGTTTTGCCTTCGGCGTCCTGCAAGTTTATTTTGACACCAGCTTCCAGCAGAAAACGGACCATCTCAATGTGGCCCCGGGCACACGCGTGCATGAGAGCCGTCTTCTCGCTGGTCACACCGTCCTGCCAGTCCTTGTTGGCTCCTCCGTCAAGCAGAGCTTGGGCCACTTTAACATGGCCTGTTTTGGCGGCGTACATCACAAACTCTTCTTTGGCTCGGTCTTCCAGGTCTGGCCTACCCAATGTGGAGGACACCACTAGCTGCCACTCAGTGGTTCTCAGTGGCATACCAGGAAGTTCCTCGAAACCGCTCTCGGACTCAAAAAGCCGTTGAAAGCACATTGGGTAATGATACTGAGCGCGCAAGTGGCCCTTTATGGAAACCACATCCCAGAAAGTCCCCTTCGGCTCAGCAGCAAGCTCTGCCCCGGAGACACGGCTCCACACGCGCCGCATGGCACCTTTTTGCGTCGAACTCCACCTGAGATAGGCCAAATCCCTGCGGGCCATGAGTCTCTGAGTGTTGCCTTCCCAGAGAACCCAATACCCTTACAGTAAACAATCGAGAGGGGTCTTTATGAAATACCCTAAACCCTAATAACCCTAAACTCCAAAGCCTGAGCCCTAAGCCCTGAAGACAACATTTACTAAAACGCTAAACTACAATAAACTCTAAGCCCTGAGCCCTAACCAAACCGTTGACCTCTAAGCCCTTAGCGCTAACCAAACCGTTGACCAGACACCAAACCCAGCGCCAAAATCCGAAACCAAAGATTTCTATTCTAGATACCAAGCCCAATCTTCTTACTAAACCTTAAACCCCAAACCCCAAACCATATGAACCCCGAGGTGAGGCTGGACATTTGCTAGACCCAGGAGTAGCCTAGGAATAAACGGGTGCCCTTCTTGGTTTGAAGCGGATTCTCAGGGAACCCCAACGCAAAAAAAGGAAAGAAAGGCCTAAACCCTAAACCCTAAACCCTAAACCCTAAACCCTAAACCCTAGAAGTCCTAGTTTGCAATGGCAAGGCACGGTGGACCTTGGCGATGGGCGACTCAGACAGGACGGGGTTGCTCGAGATCTGCCAAGACAGAGGCGGAGTGGAGGCTTCTTTAGGGTTTGGGGTTTGGGGTTTAGGGTTTAGGGTTTGGGGTTTGGGATTTGGGGTTTGGGGTAGAGGGTTTGCCTGTGGGTTCGGGTTGAGGGCTTGCTGCTTTTGAGGCGGCAGGGGTTCAGGGTTTAGGGTCTAGGGTGGGACTTGAAAGGGCTGGCTTGTCTTGAGGCTTCCCGAAAAGGAAGAGGAAAAGACCCCGTAAACGGAGGCAAGAATAGACCAAGCAATGGCAGCAAAGCGATTGCGCATCTGACTTCCGTAAACCTTAAACCCTAAACCCTAAAGCCTGAACCCTAAACTCTGAACCCTGAACCCCAAAACCCAAAACCCTAAACCCTAAACCGCAACAATGGAGACTTCAGGTTGTTCCTGACCGCGAAACCCTCTCAACCCCCTCACTTCTCGAGCCGCTCTTCCCCTCTAGACCCTAACCCTAAACCCTAAACCCTAAAACCTCTGAACCCCCCCCCCCCCCCCCCCCCCCCCCCCCCCAAACCCGCGAAAAAAACACCCTCAACCCTAAAGCCTCAACCATAAACCCCTAAGCCCAAACCTTGGGATGTTCCCCCTTATACTAACAGCCCTTTAGGGATAATAAAAGGGGGTACTACGACCCCTATTAAGGACTGTTAGTCTAAGTGGGAACATCCCAACCTAAACCCTAAACCGCAAAAGAGCAGAAGAGCAGAACAAAAAAAGAAAGCAAGCTCGAACCTCTTGCATGACCAGCCCTAAAACCCTAAACCCTAAACCCTAAACCCTAAACCCTGAAAATCAACCAGAAGCCTTGCTTCCATTATTTCTGCCTTCTAAATACAGCAACATCTCAGCAACCGTAAACACTAAACCCTAAACCCTAAAAAAAACGAAACAAACTGTCCAAGCTACTTTTCATGCTCAAGACCACCATAAGAACAATGATGTTGAATTCTCGAACATTTGTTAAAAAAAAAAAAAAAAAAAACAGGTTTTGTGCCCAAGTGTAATTGTGGGGTGCCATGTGCATGAAAAGAGAAGACTGTTTTTGACATTTTTCCAGCAACCCAAAAGATCGACTTAGCTAGCCAAGGAAGAAAGCCAAAAAGGCTTCTTATCTCGCAAAAGAAGACAAAAGGCCTGCTTTGCAGCAACCCTGAACCGTGAACCCTGAACCCTGAACCCTGAACCCTAAACCCTAAACCCTAAACCCTCAACCCTAAACCCTAAACCCTAACCGCCTCCTGGGATTCCTTGTTGACAAAACGCTCCAGGCTCTGTTCCGGCTCCTCTCACTCTGGGACTCTTTGGGGCCTCCTTAGGGTTTAGGGTTTAGGGTTTAGGCTGTAGGGTTTAGGGTTTAGGGTACAGGGTTTAAGGTCTTACTTTAGGGTTTAAGGAATGTTTTGGGGATAAATCTAAGGTCTTTGAAAAAGAATTCAAGGTTTAAGTCTAAGTGCTTTCCTTTCGGGGTTTCAGTTTTAAGGAGGGTTCTTGTACAGGTCTGGCCTGTTCGTGTGGGGTTTAGGGTTTGGGGTTTAGGGTTTGGGGTTTTAGGGTTTAGGGTTTCGGGTTTAGGGCTAGTTTAAGGTATGAGGTTTAAGGCTTCGGGTTCAGGGTTTCAGGGTTTAGGGTTTGAGGTTTAAGGTTAAGGGTTTAGAGGGTTTAGGGTTTGAGGTTTAAGGTTTAGGAATAACGGTTAAGGGCTGGAGATTTATAAGCTTTAGGGTTCACGCTGTGGGGGAAGATCTTGACATGCAGGCCGTCAGGGGTGGGGAGAGTGAGTGTGTGTGTGTGTGTGTGTCCTAAACCCTAAACCCTAAACCCGAAACCCTAAACCCTAAATCCAAAAACGCCCCTGGTGGCACCTCCATGGTCGGCAGGTAGCCGGCGATGATGCCATGGCGCCTGAGGCTTTGGGGTTTGAGCGTCGAGGGTTGAGGGTTTAGGTTTTTAGGGTTTAGGGTCTAAGGTTTTTTGTAGAGTTTAGGGATTTTAGGGTTTAGGACTTGAGGGTTTGAGGGTTTGAGTGTTTGCGGGTTTTGGGTTAGTTTAGGGTTTAGGGTTCTTTTGGTTTAGGGTTTAGGGTTTAGGGTGTGGGGGTTGGTTTAGGGTTTAGGGTTTAGGGTCTAGGGTCTAGGGTTTAGGGTTTAGGGTTTAGGGTTTAGGGTTTAGGGTTTAGGGTTTAGGGTTTAGGGTTTAGGGTTTAGGGTTTAGGGTTTACGGTTTAGGGTTTAGGGTTTAGGGTTTAGGGTTTAGGGTATAGGGTTTTGGGTTTTGGGTTTAGGGTTTAGTTTAGGGTTTAGGGTTCCTTCTGCGAGGTGTTCACGACAGGGCTGACAAAGACGGGGGTCTAACTGACAAGGAAGCCATGGGGTCTGACAAGCCGCCTAAACCCTAAACCCTAAACCCGAAACCCCTAAACCCTAAACCCTAAACCCTAAACCCGAAACCCCTTTACCCTAAACCCTTTACCCTAAACCCTAAACCCGAAAAGGTTGCCAGATGCTTTCCGTGTCAGCCGCCTCTGGGTCTGGTCTTTCCATGAACTACTATTTGCCTAGGCTGCCCAGTAACCTAGGATGAAAAAGGGTGCCCTTTTTTTGCGTAAAAGGGGTTTATAGGGGAACCTAGAGCCCCCAAAAAGGGAATAAGGGCACTACTGGGCATCCTAGTTGCTTAAGAGCCCCTCACAAAATAATACTCCCTATGTTCGCCTCGGCTTCCTGCCGAGAAGCATTGGAGCAAGCAAACCCGGATCGGGCCTCCTTCCCCCCGCAAAATTTTGTGGCGGAACCCCCCGCCCTGCGGGATCCCCCCCCCCCCCCCCATCGCTTGTTTCACAGAAAGAGCGCCTCAAAACCCCACCCCCTCACCCCCTCACCCCCCCTCAATCCTAAAGCCTTTAACCCTCAACCCTGAACCCCAAAACCCGACACCCTATATAAACACGAAACCCTAAGCCCTAAAACCTAAACCCTAAACCCTACACCCTAAACCCCAAACCCTAAACCCTAAACCAAAAAACCCTAGACCCTAAACCCTAAACCCTAAACCCTAAACCCTAAACCCTAAACCCTAAACCCTAAACCCTAAACCCGAATCGAGGCTGGGGCAGCATCCTGTGCTCTGTATCCCATCTCGGCCTCTCGCCTCATTCTGCTTGGGGTTTTGGGAGGTTTAGGGTTTAGGGTTTAGGGTTTGGGGTTTGGGGTTTAGGGTTTGGGGTTTCGGGTCTAGGGTTTAGGGTTTAGGATTCAGGATTTCGGGTTTAGGGGTTTAGGGTTACAAGGATTAGGGTTTCGGTGTAGGGCCTACGGAAAAAGAAGCATGACCCAGTGAATATCAACATGCGTTCATGCATTTGTGACTTTTGTGTTCTGCGACTTCTGGGCAAGGAATTCAAGTTTCTACGAATTGCTTAAGAACCCCCTCCCCCCAAAACAAAAAAACTAGTCTTCCTTAAAAAGCAATATAGGGATTCTTATTTTCATTGTTTTGAGGGGGATTCTTAAGTAAACAGTAAGTTTGCGGTGTAGGAAATCGAAAGCCCTAGAGCCCATTGGGGTTCATCCATCTCGCAGCTCCATCTGGTGTTCTCGTTCTCCAAATAGAAATCAGCACTACGAGAAATCCCAATGTCCAGCCCTTTCCGATCCTCTTTAATAACCCAGAAACCCGTCTGCCATATGCAATTGAGGGTTTAAGGTTTAGGGTTTAGGGTTTAGGGGAGACGTTCAGATTCAAGTGGAGGTCGGGTCCTGTCGTGCGGGCTTCACAGGAGTCAGCCTATCACTGAGGCAATCCAGGAGCGCCCACATTCTGGAATCTAAAGGTAATTCCTCCCCACGCAACCTTCTATCCTCCCTGTGTCACATTCTTACCGACACATCACATGATCTTAAACCCCCCCAAACCTAAACCTATTCGCCTAGAACTCGACTACCAGCTTAAGTTAAAACCCCCCGAAACCCTAAACCCTGCAAGGGCGGGACAGGAACCGCAAGCCCCGAACATTTCAACGAACCCAGGGTTCGGGTTTGTCCCCCTTTATACTCACAGTCCTTAAGAGGGATTTTGGGGTTTAGGGTTTAGTACCTCCTCTTCGAATCCCTAGTAAGGACTGTCAGTAGAAAGGGGAACATCCGAGCCCCAAGGTAATCCCCTCCCCCTAATATTAAACGCCCCCCCCCCCCCCCCCAAAAAAAAAAGTGTTTTGATTATTAGGGGGGGGGGGGGGGGGTTCTCCAAATGTCATGTTTGGGGTCCAAAGGGTTTAGGGTGGGTGTAGGCTTCAGGCTTGGAGGGTTGAAGCAATTAATGACAGATGTTGGTTGGCTTGAGGGTGTTGGGAGCCCTGAAACC